ATACTATTTTCTTTCCTTTCTTCTTTTTTTTTTTTTTGGTACTGAGGTTAGAACTCAGGGCTTGGCAGTGCTCTACCAGTTGAGCCAAGCCGCAACCCTTTCTGCTCTGCTTTGAGACAGGGTATTGCTTCTTGCTGGGATTCCCCGCCCTGACATGATCTCCTAGTTATGCTTTTAGGGTGTCTGGGATGACAGATGGGTGACACAGAGCCCAGCTTTTCTGGTTGAGAGATGGTTTCTCAAGCTCATACTGGCCTGGGGCCATGCTCTTTCCAATCTCTGGATCCCACAGCATCTTCTAACTACGATGATCATCTTCTTAGAAATGGTCCCTCAAAGGCTGGTGTTGCTGGCTCAGGCCTGTAATCCTAGCTAAGGATTGCTGCTCCAAGCCAGTCTAGGCAGGAAAGCCCTGAAACTATCCCCATTTCTCTATTATTAACAACGTAAGTGAAATGCCTATATTTCTTTGCTTAATTATATGATTTCCTCCAATATACAAAACCATTTCCAATAATGTGGTATTCCTCCTGGAACTGTAATTAAAGGGAGGATTTGCACACTGAGTAACAGGTACAATTTGAAAGGTTCATTGCAAGGCTTGTCCCTCATTTACTCAATGTCAAACATGGCCAATTAGAACAAAACAGTAGGAGGTAGGAACACCATCCCAGAAGACATTAAAGGAAATTTTCACACTCTTCTCCCCAACTTTGGGTTGCAATTTCCTGTTAAAAACAACTGTTTGGATAAGTACCAACAGGGTTTGTACCTGAAACAATACAACAAGGAGACAAGGTAGGGGTGTCACCATGGAGACAAAAAGCTGTTTCCTGACCTGGGTATAGTTGCTGCTGGGACACAGGTGGGAGGCCTGGGGAATTGCATATGCAAACAAGTGCTGGGAAAGTGCCTGGGATTCACCCCCACTCCGGGCTCTGGAAGTCAGGCAGGTCCTGACACTAGGAAGAAGTTGTGAAAACACTTCGGGTAGTGAAGCCAATGCTGGCTGGGCCAGGGCTGCTGGCTGGAGAGGGAAAATCCCAGCTGTCCAGGTTTGGGAAATATAAGGTCTTGCTCTTCCAGAAGTGAGGCATCATACCCTTTTCCTGGCGATAGCAAACAAACGGGAGTCGCAAAACCGCTCACAGCTACTCGTTGCCTTGAATTTAGAGAGGATCCCGTGGGGGCATACATGTGCACACGGGCTGGGTGCTGTGCTCAGCTTTTCTGCTTTTTTTCCCTTAAGTCTAGTGATTTCATTTTTGGCTGAGAACCCCTGCCAGGCTGGCCAGGGGCCCTGTCCTCGGTCTCGGTCTGAGTGGTCGGGATAACCTGAGCCAGGTGACGGCCTCCTGAGCGGTTGGGACGTGGGGCCTGAGCTCGGTTGTCATCTTTCGTTTTGAACTTGACATCGTCCACTAACTTTTTAAAAGTAGAGGCGCGCTTCCTTCCCGGGAACGCGGGTCAGAGGTCACACAGCGTCCATCTCCCACCAAGCGGCCCGCGCTTCCTCTGTCGGTGGCGGCGCGGGCACTTCTGCAGGGTCGGGTCCCGCTCCACTGGTCACCAGGAGGGCGCAGGTGGGCCTGGTGCATCCGGGAAGCCAGCGCGTCCCCGGGGTCCGCCCGGCGGTGACCCGGCACAGCCCCGACCCCGGGGTCAGTCCCGTCCCTCCTCCGGGTCTCCCCGCCGTCCCCCCGGTCAGTGCCGAGGACGCGGCGGCGCCTGGGGGCGCACAGGCTCGAGCCTCCACATCTACATTTCACGAAGAAGCCGCCAGGGCAGATGCCGCGCGCTCCATTTTACACCTGGGGAAACCGAGGTCGAGACCCTCACGCACCGGTCGGAGGGGGCAAACGCGGACCCGAGGCGAGAGAAGAACCGGGGCCGCCACCGTCCCCCTCCCCCGAGCTCGTCTGGCCCGCGCGGCC